GGGATAAGTCTTCCCTCTGGAAGGTTATCCGCAAACTTGCCCCCAAAACTGCCAAGGTCCATGTCCAACTCCGCGGAGCCCAGGGAGCCATTCTCAGCCCTCAGGCCGAAGCTGAACAGCTAAGATTGCACTGTGAGAAGCTGTATCATCTCCCCCGGCCCGCTCCCGCACTGGACGCTTCCTCTCTGAACGCGGGCCCTCCGGTTGGGATTGCTGTATACGCTACTGATCGCGCCTCGGCGCCGGTCAGTCTGGGACCTCCTTCGGTAACCTACGGCCCACGCACGGAGCCGGAGCTGAAAGCCGCGCTTGCCACTCTCCCTGCACGTAAGGCCACCCCCAAGCACCTTGCCCAGCTACTGCTTTGGCATCTCGGTCAGGATCTGGTCATTTCGAGCCTGGCGGCACTATGCACGGCCCTCTGGGAGGAGCCGAGCGCGTTTCATAGGCTATGGGCGGGAACTTCGGCGGATGCTTGCGACCATTGCGGCCTGTTTTCGTATCCTTGCCAAGCTTGGTCTTCAGGTACAGCATCGGAAAACTCAGCTGCTCGTTGCGCACAAGGGTCGCCAGGCGCAGAAATGGTGGAAGGCAAACACGGCCTCCAACTCGGAGGGCCGCTTCCTGCTCATTCCCCAGCCAAACCAGAAGAACCTCAGGTTACCCATTGTCGAGCAGCTCACGTACCTCGGCGTCATTCTTTCCTACAAAGACGCGACTACGGCCACGGTGGATCATCGCCTTCAAGTCGCGGAAGCACAGCGTGCGCGTCTACTCAGGGTACTTCACTCCCGGACGCTTCCCTTGGGTAAGCGTGTGCAGCTCTGGGTGGCATGCGTCCGCAGCTCCGCTTTCTATGGTCTTCACCTGCTAGACCACCAGCAAAAGCACCTGACCCGTATCACCATCAATGTTGTGAAACACTTGCGGGCCATTGCCAGGAGCTTTGCTCACATGACCCAGGAGTCCAACAGCGCTCTCCTTGCCCGCTTAGGAATAGAGGATCCCTTGTCATTCCTGCTTCGAGGCTGCCAGCGACTACTGACCAAGGCCCAGGCCTCTTGCGATCCTATGGTCACCCAGCCCAACATCCTGCAATGGCTCGTTAGAGTCACTGAATCTAGGCTAGCCCTCACCTCCCACCTCGACTCGGTTCCACCCTTGACTCTCACGACAATCTCGGACTCAAACATTGAGCAAGCTGTGGAGGACTCTGTGCGCATCGCCTCTCTACCCGGCCGCCTTACTGGGGCGCCGAAAGGGGAAAAAGTTACTGGCCAGCATGGTCCCAGGTACGCTACCCTCACCTGCCCTACGTGCCAGCTCTCATTCCCCGACCTTGCCACGCTCAAACGGCATCACCAGAAATATCATGAAACCGAGCTGCCCAATCCCAACACCTCGGTCGATGCTGCCGCTGTTCGCAACCACAGTGTTGACCGTATGCCGATATGTATGCACTGTGGGCGGGATTAACGTTACCTGGTTTAACCTGAAGAGGCACATTCAGAAAGGACACTGTCTCAGGCAGCGTCAAAAAGCCTGTGCCTCCGTCTCCGCGCCTTCCCCCTCCAACCCGCCCGACGCTGCGGCACCACCGCAGAGAACGCATCAACCCTTGACGCGCACCCCTCTCTTCCTCCTACCTCAGCCGGACGCCCGCACTCATCGGAGGGTGAAACGCGGAATACCACGGCACTGCGCACCGCGCTGCATATGCCCTCCCCTGCCACGCCCTCCACGCAATCCACGTCGATCATCAGCTCATCTTCGCCTCGTCCGCTGCTTTTATGCATGCCTCCGGTACCACTTAGGCGATGGCTGGAGTTCGCACGGATGCCGGGCACCCAGGCAGTTCTTCGTCAGTTCTGTGCGGTCTGTGGCCAATGGCTGGTGTCGGTGCGCAGCATCAAGCTTCATTACAAGCAGGTACACCCTGAGGCCTATGATCGGTATAGTGAGAAGGCAGCCGCTGACTGCAAGAAAATAGGTCACCTGATTTCTCCATGCACCTTCTGTGGCTATGCCATGAAGCGTACTGACCTGCGCTCCGGCACATGTCCTGTCCTGTGGCAAGCTCGCATGT